CAAACCACAAAAGTTGTGGGATAGTGTTCTGTGGACTGATGAAACAAAATTAGAACTGTTTGGGCCCATGGATCAACGCTATGTTTGGAGGAGGAAGAACAAGGCCTATGATGAAAAGAACACCTTGCCTACTGTGAAGCATGGTGGAGGGTCAATCATGCTTTGGGGCTGTTTTGCTTCTGCAGGTACAGGGAAGCTTCAGCGTGTGCAAGGTACCATGAATTCTCTTCAGTACCAGGAGATATTGGATGGAAACGTGATGCAGTCCGTCACACACCTGAGGCTTGGGAGACGTTGGACCTTTCAACAGGACAATGATCCCAAGCATACCTCCAAGTCCACTAGAGCATGGTTGCAGAGGAAAGGCTGGAACATTTTGGAGTGGCCATCGCAGTCACCAGACTTAAATCCGATTGAGAACCTCTGGTGGGACTTAAAGAAAGCAGTTGCAGTGCGCAAGCCTAAGAATGTGACTGAACTGGAGGCCTTTGCCCATGAAGAATGGGCGAAGATACCCGTAGATCGCTGCAAGACACTTGTGTCAAGCTATGCTTCACGTTTAAAAGCTGTTATAACTGTAAAAGGATGCTGTACTAAGTACTAAGATTGAATGTCACTTGGGGGTTGAATAAAACTGATAATGCTGTGAGCACAGAAAAGACATTTGTGGTTATTTCATTATAACTGTTATGTTATATTTGTCTGACCTACAAGTGCCTCTTTAATGTAAATGTAAGCAAGATGACTGAATGATCAAAAGCAATGTCAAACTGGCCAAAACACTCAATTTCAGTGGGGGTTGAATAATTTTGGCCACAACTGTAAGTGGGTTTCTTCTGGAGACCTGCTCTCCAGCCGACAACATGAGTGGTGTCAGCTTCCGGGCCACCTGGGCGGTCTCCAGACCTTTTGCCACTAATAGCAGTATATCCAGGTGGAGGGTACGGTATTCTGGACAGGAAGTGATCAAACCCTTGCAAACAGACTCCTTTAGTCCTGATACAAATGCAGAGGCCAGCATTTGAGTATGTACCTTGTTATGGACACTGAATCCTAGGTCTGTAAACACCTGTGTTAGTCTGGTATGGAACTTTTCCACCGACTCAGTCTTGTCTTGGGTAATGTCCTGCAATGTGGTGGCCTGGTCCGCCAGTCTCTCTCTGGCCCACTGCTGCAACTGGTCACAGAAAGAAATTCCCGAGGCATAAGTGGTGTCCTCATTTGGCTTTACTCTGGTGAGATCCTTTTCCATTATAGGCCAATATGCATCCCCATATAAATACAATGTGAATATGGTATCAAATCAAAAAAACCCCTAAACCTGCACTAATATCAAATTGGAAAAAAAAACTTTCAACCCCTGAAAGCTTGAAATCAAATAAATTAATCCAAAAAAAAAATCTTCCCTCTTTTAACAAATAATCTACCTATATATACAAAGCAAAACTTTCCCCATATAATTATATACGTGAACTCCCACAAAATCCTAAATTCCAGTGTCTCAGTGATCAAAACCAAAACATAAAAGTCCAGTGTCTCGATAATCAAAACTGCCTGGTAATTCCCATAAAGTGGGGTTTTGTTCCTAATCGCAAGTTTGAATTTTAAATGTAAGCAGATTCATTAAAATGTTACTACTCTGAATATACATGGAGGTACGTCATGGTTAATTTCCATTATACTGGAGCCTGGTAAATCCATGACCATAGACCTGTGAATGTGGATGGCATTACAACATTACCCTAACAATAAGTGAAGGAGGAGAGGAGGAGAAAAGTTCCTTTGGAGGATCTCTACAAATTATATTATAAAGGCGTGGGTTTTTTTTCTACTGTTGGTAAGGGTATATTTGCCTTACTCACTAGAAGTGTCCCGTGTGGGTAGGAGTCTCACTGAGTGAATCACTTCAGGATTTTATAATTTTTGAGCACGAGTGTTTATTATCCTTTTTGGAAGGTCTTTTCACAAGTGTTTCACTATTTATATCACTTAGTGTTGCACAATCTTATGATACACATTTGTGTGTGCATGTATGTGTATATATACAGTAGGTGTGTATATATATATATATATATATATATATATATCCAATTTTTTTTTATTTTTTTTTTATTTGTGTGTTTTTGTTTGTGATTTTGTTATGGTAATGCACTATTGTGAGTTTCTTTATTTTTGAGGTTTTTCACAAAAAAATTATTGAACACAATCAACGCTGCAAGAAACACGTTTTTTTAGCTCTACTATTTTGATTATCGAGACACTGGACTTTTATGTTTTGGTTTTGATCACTGAGACACTGGAATTTATGATTTTGTGGGAGTTCACGTATATAATTATATGGGGAAAGTTTTGCTTTGTATATATAGGTAGATTATTTGTTAAAAGAGGGAAGATTCTTTTTTTGGATTAATTTATTCAATATGCATCCCCAGCCTTGATCTCACACAGACTGACCAAATCCCTCCAGGCTGTGGAATAGGTCTTGTGGATCTAGGCTATGCGCCGGTAAAAAGGCATCGGGTGTTTCTCCGGATCTGGACTGCGGCCCTCCAGGGGTGGGCGGTCCTGTTGGGGGGCAGATGGAGCCGGCATCATCTGCCTGTGTGACCTGGCGATCCGCCGTGGCCGCTGTCACTTCTTGAGCCCATCCTCTTCTGTCTGGCAGAGAGGTAGGGGTCACCACATCTGTAAAATTCCAGCCCGGCCATTCTGTGGGTGTCTTCAGTTCAACTTGGTCTGAAGCCTCTGTTCGTTTTGGTGGTGGTGGTACTACAGGCATTAGGGGTGTGTGGAGGGCCGAAGGTGGTTGGGAGCCAGAGACAGTAAGCACTGGGCAAAGGCTGGGCAAAGGGGGGGGGGCAGCTGGCATGAGGTGTGTATGGTGTATCGGTGTACTAAGCCCAGAGTCAACATGGCTTCCGGTGGCCCCACGTTGGGCGCCAAATGTCCTGGACTAGGTCACTTACAGACCATTTACCGTGATCTACCAGTGAGCCAAATTAATGTGAGAATACGTGCACGTGGAAGTAAGACACTGACACTTCGCAGTTTGCCTACTTCCTAAAATTCTGTTTTATTGAGGAACTAACAGTATCATTTATAGGGCATATGATGCAGGCAAAGCATATACATTGATTGGGTGAAAAGTCCACTGGGTTTCTGCGTGTTCTTTCATTCGTGTTGATATCTTCCAATCATTGTCCCCAAAGAGACTCATTCCCTTTTATGGGGGTTGTTTACATTAAAAGATACTTTTCTCCTAATGAGTCACCAAGGGTGAGACTCCAGATGAAGGCGCCATCTTAATTATCATCATTGTTCTGTCAACCTATATCTGATTGTTTACTTGAGAGTAAGGAATTTAAAGAGCAAGAAACAGACAGTAGCAAGACTATAAAATTGTCATTTTACTGATCATCTAATAAAACGTGGACTGTCAATCACAATCCACTACACCTGGAGTTTGCATAGTCTCCCTGTGCCGTGGGTTTCCTCCAAGTACTCTGTTTTCCTCCCATACTCCAAATACATGCTGGTAGGTTAAATGGTTCCTGTCTAAATTGGCCCTAGTATGTGTATGTACAGTATGAATGTGAGTTATGGGCCTTAAATTGTATGCCCCTTGAAGGTTAGGGATTGATGTGAAAGTACTATATATACACTATACTATGTATACTGTATATGTTAACCCCTTGGCGCTGGAGCCTCCCGGCCCTTTAAGGGTTTCAGAAACTGGGAGGCGGGGCGGGGTTCAGGGTCATGCGACCGCCATGACGATCAGGAAATGTTCCGATCGAAAGAGGAGATCGGGACCTTTCCGTGAGTACCGGACATGTGTGCTGGGAGCGCGCAGGGCGCGCGCTCTCAGCACATACATTTTTTTTTAATAGAACGCAAATGTGCGGCCGCTCGGCGTCTAGGCCCAGACTCCCGGAGGCCGCATACTTGCATTCAGCCAACGTGAAGAGGTAAACTAACAGCGCTATTTATATAAATATATATATATTTGTACAGCAGCCATCTGTATATGGCACTGCTCTTTGTACCTGTATTGTTAATATTTAAGAAATTAAAGAACTCCATCCAATGGATGATAGCATACAATTGGTGCTCTTGTTCTATCCCATGGTCGCAGGTGCTTACAAGAATGGAAACAATTAAATTATCTGAACGCATCTATCATACACTATGTGACAATTTACATATATTTAAGGAAAATGGATCTACTGGGATACACCATAATCTTTCATCTCCATTTGTATAAATACTTCAAATATTTTTCTGTATCATTCACTTTTGTTTGTAATTTTAGATGTATAACTGTAATTTATGCCAGACTCATTCAATATCTATTTAATAAGCTCATGCTTCATTTCTGTCTCTTAAGTTGATATGCCTTAACTCATAAATAATGTTGTTCAACTCTGACCTCATTTTAATCTGTACTTTATGACATATTTGTACACATTTCTGTTTGATTGTACTTGATTTTGACCTAATAAACTAGTTTGTAAAGAAAAAGAAATTAATCACTTGCCCTCCAGAGGATTCCCCCCCCCCCCCCTTCCTGACCAGGCCATTTTTTGAGATACAGTGCTGTGTTACTTTGACTGACAATTGCACGGTCATTGAATGCTGTATACAAATGAAATGTATGTCCTTTTTTCCCGACAAATAGAGCTTTATTTCATGGTATTTGATCGACTCTTTATTATTTTTTTTTTTGCACTATAAACAAAAAAAAACTGACAATTTTGACAAAAAAGCAATATTTTTTTATTTTTTGCTATAAAACATATCCAGTAAAAAACTTTTTAAAAATCACATTTATTCATTAATTTAGGCCAAAATGCATTCTGCTACATGTCTTTGCTAAAAAATACATGTAAATTAAGTGATTTATGTGAAAGAGTCTACAAATGGTGGTATATATACTGGAAGTTTAATTTTTTTTATACTAGTAATGGTGGCGATATGCAACTTATAGCGGGGACTGCAAGGCTGCAGTGGGTATACTGGCACTGGGAGGGGAACTGACTAACTGCCAATGACACTAATACAGTGATCAGTGCTAATAAAAAGCACTGACACTGTACTAATGGCAGGAAGGGGTTAACATCTGGGGCGATCAAAGGGTTAACTGTGTGCTGTTTTACTGTGTGTGCTGTGTGTGTTTTACTAGAGAAACATGCTGCTTTGTATTGCTCTGCTATACCAGTGCTGACAGGGGAGAGATCTGTGTTGTTTACACACTGACCTCTCCCCTTTCACTGTTCCTCAGCAATCTCCAGCTGCCTGCAGGGAATCTCCGGCCAGGACCTGGTGATCGACATCTGTAGACGCCAATAGTAGTGCAGGCAGGGGGTGCACGCACACGCACCCCCTACCCAGAAATGCAAAATCATGTATATATAAGTGATTTTGTGCAGCCCTGCCACCATGTACCAGTAGTTCTGCTGTAAGGCGGCAGGGAACCGGTTAAAGAACTGCCTTTATTTTAAACATATCGCATTGATGTGTTTCTGTAAAAACTGTGTGCTCATGAATATTTGGCCTTCTGTCCATAAAAATAGCAAATTAGACTGGCAACTGTGCTCACAAGTGAGCATAACATGACATTATTTAAATTTGCATGTGATTTTTATCCTGCCAAGAATTCCTCTTGAAAACTGTAGTAGGCACCCTTGGCCGATTGTTCTCATGGGAAAAGTCTTCCAGCCAGTTTGGATTTTCCTGGATGGCTGCTTTGTTTTCTGGAGGTGGGGCTTGCACCATCGTACGATATTCCGATTATTTAGTACACAGCTTTCATCCAAAATTATTCAAAGGGACATGCACAAAAATTGTTCTTGTACAATAACAGATCATACAATTTTCGTTTAATCAATACAGTTTGCATCCAAAAATACAATATAATACATTACATCTGTAGCACACCCTTGGGTGATGCTTGGCTAGATATATAGGTTCAACTCCCACCTGAATCTGGTGGCACCTCCGATTATACCCAGAACACTTTGACACTTTGAGAATATTTTTTATGGGTTTTATTGAAGAAGACAAACCCTGAAAAAGAACTAGCTGATTTAACACAGGTAATGTACATAAAACACAAATACCACTTTGCATAACACAGTTACTAAGAAGTCACAATTCACTCGCCAAAGACTCCAAAAACTGACTAGTATCACACGGACTAGGGTGACATATGAGAGTGACATTGACACATGAAACAATAACTGTTAATGAGATTTAGCAGCTTATTGACATTTGCTATAGCAGTACTATCTAGAGCAAAAATGTCCTACCTAACCACTGGCCAGTGAGATGAAACTTAAAGTCTCTCAACGTTGGGGCCCTTTAATCAATGCAAGAGCGCTATTCTCTGCATGGAGAGTATTTATAATCCAGGGGTAGCAGGATAGCACAGTCTCCTTTCAACAGAATCTTCCAGTGAACATTGCAATAGAAGAAAAACAACACTTCAACAAAATCTTTACCATACAGGTGAAATCCTGATATACTGACACTTGCTCAGTATATTCAAAGCAGCAAGCTTCTGTGAGGACTTGGAACTAAATACACTCTTCAGCCACAGCACAGGTTTTGAGGAGACAATCCAGTAATATACAGAAACAGAGTTCTCTCATCAATCAGCAGCATGAATAGCTAATTCTGAGCAGCTTGGGCTTTCCAAGATCTGTGTCACTGAGAATTAGAGAGCAGGCTTTCTCATGACCATTCTCCAGAGATGAACAGCAAATAGCAAATATAGCAATATCAAAATCCCCTTTCATCAAAGAGTACTCACTGTATCTGGATTGTCCTCTAGATAGCATTAGACAGTAGTAGAAATCCTCTCTCTTTCAGCAGCTCCAAACTTTGAGAGACACATGCACTTGAGTGGCTGTAATCCTGAATGTCAGGCAGGACAATCCTTGATTTGCACACTGTCCTCCTGCAACAATTCCTCTGCTACACACTCCCAGCCTAGCCCATGGGCTCTAGCAGCACAGAGAGTGAGACTCTGACTTTACACCAGGAGCCCTTGCTCCATGCGGTCCCCTGAAAATATCTGCCTCCCCACATGTGCTTCTTCTTCCTTTTTTCCTCTCTCCTTTTCCTCCACAGCCAATCATAAGTCCAGTTGCAACAGTGCTGCTATGGGTGGATCCTTCTCAGCTGTAGCAACAACCAATCAGAGCACAGTCCTGCTTTTCCTGTCTGTCACTCACAAAGAGGGAAAGAAAAAAAAATGCTTTGCAACTGCTGTTTAAGATTTAAAGCAACCAGCACATCTCTATACATCACTTTCAAATTTTTGTTCTGTCATACTAGAATTTTCGTAACTTTAATAACCTCTTCACTTTCAATATCTGACTAGCATGCAAAAAAAAAAAAAAAAAACGGACGATCATTCATCCAATATTCTCATTGCGTTTACAGGGCTTAAAGTGATTCTAACGGTTTTTTTTTTTTTTGTTAAGAAAAAATAACAAACATGTCTATACTTACCTGCTGTGTGCAGTGGTTTTGCACAGAGCAGCCTGGATCCTCCTCTTCTTGGGTCCCCCGCAGGCTCTCCTGGCCCCCCTCCCTCCGGTTGGGTGCCCCCACAGCAAGAAGCTTGCTATGGGTGCACCTGCTGCTCCGTGTGTCCATTCTCACACGAAGTCATGGCTTGGCCCCGCCCTCCCTCTCTTCTCATTGTCTCACTGGCTGTGATTGACAGCAGTGGGAGCCAATGGCTCCTACTTCTGTCTCAGCCAATGAGAAGAGGGAGTCACGGGATAGCTAAGACTCCAGTGAATATGGATCGAGAGGGGGCTTAGGTGAGTATTAGGGGGGCTGGGGGAATGCTGCACACAGAAGGTTTTTTACCTTCATGCATAGAATGCAAGAAATTAAGAAAAACTTGAGCCTTAAGAACCACTTTAGAGATAAAATATTGTGTAGTGTGGAAACTATACAGAGACACCTGGACTCTGTCTAATGTCTATGGCCAACATTTTCAGAGTCACACAAGTAAAGAAACCCATGGCTGGGCAGTTACTACCTGTTTATCAACAGCTTGACCTGCAAAGGTTGGGAAGGAAAATGTGATCACAATATATCTTTGCCTTGCAGTGCATGCAGTCATCATAAAGATGAACTTGAGGCAAAAATAAAATAAAATATAACGCCAAATGTCTCTCTTTTGAGACCAAATTCCTGTTGTATACATCTCTATGCAAAATATACAATTTTTACTACCAAAAGTGTTATGCTGCACTTAACTTTGTATCCAACCTCTATATTACTGCATTTGTTATTCTGAAAAGCCAATATATAGTAAAAGAAAAATAGAGATGTAACACCACCCCTTTAGGAGTTGCTGAAGTTTTGGGTCCCCTTATAAAATCCTGCACAACCAGGCAACACGCATTTCCTTCAAACCTTGCACACAAGAGACAGTAAACAGTCCTTGAACTTGTTTTTTGGGATTTTATTAGGGGATTGAATTTTGGATGGGGATGAGGGATACATGGGATGTCTGAGGAACTGTTGAACTGAGGACAACTTTCCAAAACTATGTACAGGTTTTCAGAAGGGTTTTCTCTTCTTTGGAGAGCCATCCAGCCTCTCCTGATGTACCACCTCAGACCCCAGATGAAATCACCTCTTCACCCAGCTGCCTAAGGGAATCCCTGGGCAAGGGGACCCAGAATCTGCCACTTTAAGATCAGCAGGCCCAGATGGGGGCTAGTCGGGTTTCCCACCAAAATGCCCTCTCCCCTTATCTGGCCCAGAGGGTGTGGGAATACTCACTCAGTCCTCTCTTGCAAGCTTGTGGGTTGGTGGCTACCTTCAGGTCTTATGCTGGGATGGCTCCTTCCCTTCTTTCAGAGATACTTCCTTCCAGCTTCTCTGCCTGTAGGTAGGTCCCTCTCATGGACCCCCTCCCAGGCTCCACACACCATCCTGCTCACTCGATCTTCCACATGAACTCTCCTACTACTGAGCAGACTCGGTCACTCTTAAGGGCTGTCCTGACCCCATGCCAAGCCTCCTGCTTGGGGATTGGCCAGGATCCCTTAAACGTGCAGACCAGCTCTTTCTCACCCCCACTCACTGAATTCTAAAGACTTCTCCAAGTCTCTAGATCAGGGTTAGGTTTCAGAGAGCTGATCTGCAGAGCCTCTCAGCCCTGACTCAAATTTGACCCTCTGACTATTGCACAGGCTACAATTCAGCCTCTAACTAAAAAAAAAAAAATATCTAGCTCCCCATAGCTAACTAGGAGGGTGCTACAGAGGTCAAGAAAGCACTTGTGTGGTTTAGCCAATCAATTTCTACGTATTAGATCTTTATGATTTGTGTAACTGTGGCCATGGTAGAGATGTGTCCTTTGCCTACATACTGTGGGCTAAAATGTGTCTCTTTTTATTATTTCAAAAAGTTAGGAGGTATAGATTGGCATGATGAGTTATATGAAGATGCAGATGTCCTAAAGAGCTCTTACTAACCTTCATAGGTCAGGCACCATAACCACTCTGTGCTTGTCAGTCTACCTTTGTATCTGGCTCAGTGAAAAGTCTTTCCCTGGCCTTATCACCTTTCAAGGTCCTGTCACTGGACTATTCTCCTAAGTACCATTCACCTCCCCTTTCAAGTCCAACCCATGCTTTATTTTTTGTACTCAGTAGCTCTGTCAGGTATTGCTGCTGAGTTGGTTGTAAACCCCAAGTACCTGTAAACTATGGAACCATGTGCACAAGTTATGCTTGCTCCTTGGGTCTTGTGCAAATGCAATTTCTATGGGCCTTGCAATCCTAAAAGTCAATGCTTTACTGTAAGTGTCTTCTGTTTCAACACTAAAGCCAAAGGATATGGCTGTGATTCGAGCAAGCTGAAATGGGCACTGCCTGGTTAACATGGCCAGAACATTGACAGTTTATGTTGCAACAACTAACAGGAGTACTTACACTGATGGCATGATATTAATATTATATTGTTATACAGGATTTATATAGCACCAATAGTACTTTACAAAATGAAGGTATACAGTACAGTTACAATACAATTCAATACAAGAGAAATCAGATGACCCAGCTTGTTAGAGCTTACAATCTAAGAGAGAAGGTCAAATGATACAAAAGGTAATAACTGTGGAGAATGAGCTGTTGTAGAATGTAAAAAGACAGTTTGTTAGTTAGAAGCAGGTTAAGCTTCTCTAAGGACATGGATTTTCAAGGATCACCTAAAGGTGGATAGACAGTCAGACAGATTGGGGTAAGGAGTTCAAAAGGATGGGAAAGGCTCTGGCAAAGTCCTGGAGGTGAGTAT